AGGGTGTGAGTTTAGCTGTACCTATGTGTTGTAGGGTGTGAGTCTGCTGAGCTACCTGTACCGAGAGTGTCTGGAGTGTTCCAGTACTGATCACTACCCAATGATGATGTCCATCCTGCAGTCATCATCTGGACCCTACACCCTGTAAGTCATACACACAGTGACACATTATATTGGGCTCACCATATACTGTTTATACATTTATTTTTGTGAGTTATTTATTCTTGCACTCAATCAAAGAATGGTGAAATCAAGCATCTCAAACGTGTATTTGAGATGTAATCAGATATGTGTTACAGATTTTAATGAAGCAAACAAACATTCTGTCATTCACATTTAAGGTCAAAGATGTAAATTTACTATCAAAAGACTGAAAATTATATATATACATAGTGAAGATGTAAGACATTAAATTTAGAATTGAATGCTTGACGATACAGTTCTATGCAATGACTTAAGTTATTCTTTTCGGTGAATAGGTTTGTACAGGACTGGGTGTTTCACGGAATTTGTCAGGACATCTATGGAGAATTCATGATAGAAATCCATGCAGACTACCTACAATTCAGAGGTTTGTATACCTAGCTTGCCTTCAATGCAGAGACAAATTTTTCAGTCCTGCATCATTTTGGGGAGAGGGGACACGTAGTGTTGCCCATGTCTGTTGTTCTAGCTATTTCATTCCTGAAAGAATTTTGATCAATGATTTGGAGAGGTTGGTTTTGTCATTCTTATATAATTTATATATTTGCAGACAAGAACTACTGGGCGAATGGTTACAAGATGATGACCAAAAAAGAGTCCGATAGTGTACCACTGTTCCTCGCAGACCTCGCCTCAGATATATTCATCTGTGGCAAGTCCATCAATCTCCTCAAGGCGTGTTGTTCCCAGGTAGGCTTCACACAACATCATCCGGGCTTGATTTTGCTTTTGTTTTCATCTAACTTATGCAGAGCTTCAAGAAGAACTGCAACAATATATCTTATGTAGGTCACTGTGATCTATATTCAAATATTTTAATCATTAACTTTACATTTTTCAGAATTTTCTGTGTAACATAGCTGACATTGACATACCCAGGATATCGGTCACATTCTCAGAGGAGGAACTTGGTAATCTAGATGGCCAGTGTCAGTTTTATGTCAACAAAATGAAGCAAATAGCACGGCAGTTGACCATCTCAAGGTACCGACTTTTAAATCATACATAGGTGTATTGTAAGCAGAGTATTTTGCCCAACACTCTGTAACATGACATGGAAATTGATGTTATTATTGACTTTATCCTCTAAATATAATTACTTTAGCAGTAATCATATTTTGGTTTTGGTGCCAAATCAAATATGCTAAATTATGATAACCACATAATGTAAAATCATGTCATTCTCAGCATTAAAAGTAATTGCATTTTATATTCTAGACTTTAATGTAGAAGAAAAAAGGACTTGTTTTTCAGTGTTTACTTACATTAACTGGATTGGTTTCAGAAAACAGAAGGAAGAGATGGAAGAGGCTGCAAAGAAAGATATGTTACTTAAGGCAAAAGAAGTGGCCACGCAGGAGATACAGAAACTACAGAGTGAGTAATAGACATTAGCTTTATCTACATCCCATAAAATGCAAATAAAAATTGGAATCTGAAAAAACTAAAATATCAAAATACTGGTTTAATGTAGCAAATGAACTTCAGCAATGTTTAGCAAGTTATTGAGTAAAAAAATGTGATCTATCTTATAGTTCTTGTAAACTGCATAATGCATTTTTCTCAAATTTTATTTTTCTCTCTGTTTTGAAATGATAACAAAACTGTAATATCATTTTTATCATCTGATGCATCATATGATAAGCCTAATGTTGTATTTGTGTAAATTAAAGTGTGATATCATCACTGAACTGTATTTAGATTTAACCCGTATATGTCATTATTTAGAAATGAGAGAAACTACAATGACAATTTCTTATCATTGATTATGTTTACAGTATTAAATTTGTTAATCATTATCTTTATAGGTAGAATACAGGAAAACCGAAGAGTCCAGGACTCAAAGAAAAGGAAACAGTTCCAGTTCCTTAAGGATCAGATGGAAGCAGACTTACAGGTAGGTCAATATTTTTTTTGATAAAGCACCGAAATACCCTATTGTATTAGTTATAATGTAAATCATACAATCTCATTCTCTTAATACTGAACATGTTATGTTGTTACATTGATTTGTTAGACTGCTGTTTTATGTGGCCAAAACTGTTAAAAGAAAAAGAATGGTATATTTAACATGAAACAGTCACTGTGTATTTACATTCATGTTTCTGACTGTATCAGAATTACTTTGAATATTATTTAAACATAGTGATTATTTGGGAATAGAATCAGCTCTACTTTATGTATACTAACTTTATTCAAAAGCATGGAACAACAAAATGAGTTGTTAATTAAAAAAAGTGCCCTTCAAATGTATTGTTATAACTAGGGTAGTCACAATACGCATGGAGTGTATGATAGTATATTGCATTACAGTTGGACTTTATCGCGATATGTGTTCAAATACATTGTCATGGGAAAAAGCTACTCAAAAAGAAACTGTTTCAAGACTGAATCATATATGTATAAGATGGATCACACAGGTTTTCGTAAAATCAACCATCACAAAATTTCAAAAGATTCCCACCACAGTAATGGCCTGTTTATATCTGTTAGAATGTGTAGTTATTTGTACAGCTCAAACACCTAGCAGGAACATACAAATAAGCAACCTTTCATTTCTTGTGATACAATATGATATACCTGTGTAATTTTGATATACCAATGGATTGTTACAGCCCCAAACAGTGTCTACCTCTGCTGGATTTGTTCTGGCATTTGTATGTACTTCTTGTGTAATTTCAGAGAAGAGCAAATGTGAAAGAGCAAGTAAAGGAAGAGGACAAGATGATGATAGCTAGGGTGATGAAGGAGGAGGATACCATGACAGCTCATGAGCTAGAGCTGGAAAGGAAAGCCAGGTAGCTCACCACTAATTAACCAGTTTTAATTACAGGGAAATCAAATTGGTTTTTTGTGACAAAGAAAATATTATAATTATTTAAAGCTTTAACCTTTTTAAATTTCTTTTTGAGATGCATAAAATTTACTCTAATCTGAACAGCTTTTCCAGGGAAAAACTATGTGAAATACGAATACAATATTAATGGTAGTGTTGTTTTGTTGACAGGGAAGAGTTAATAGAATACTACAGCAAGCTGAGTGAGGAGGCAACCCTGAGAGAACAGCGGGCATTGTGGCATGTCAAACGAGCCCAGTTAGACCAGAGCAGACGTGACTTTCTACAGCGGGATAGTGTACACTGGCAGGCAGAACTTGAGAAGGCTGCTATTGTTAAGGTATCTATGGAATTTGATGCCATTTAGGCTCTTTTGTCACCAATTTGAATTAACATGAACACAAAAAATTGTTGATTTTCAGGAGTGGATGTACAAATCTAAATCTATAATCATGGTTTCTGATGAACAGTCAGACCCTGCTATAGAGGATTTATTACAGTTGAAGAAATTGCAGTTCTCATTTATTTTAAAGTTATATATTGGTTTCAAAGTGGCATAGAGGAGTGACTTTGAATTATGAGATGTTTTGAGTAACAAGGCTTTAATGAAAACAGTAACAACATCAGAAGATGAAATGTAAGGTTGTAAGAACTCAGATAATAAAGAGATTCAGTACACATGTACTTTCATGATAAAAACATTTACTGAACAGTTGCTTGGCTAAACTCATGGATTACTTTGCTGTTTTCATTTAGGAATCCATTACTGCACAGAAGCCAGAAGATGTGAGTAAATCATTTCCCATATGTAATGGGTACTTAATCTTAACCTTGGCATGATTGTGTAGTAATAGAACCAATTGTGGAACATTCTGATACCTCTGATAATGGAAATGGTATCAAAGGTTTCATGACTGACTAAAACTATTCTATTTGTGATAGTTGTCATTATAGATTTGGTTTTTATTTGTGATAGTCGTCATGATAGAT